GGGGGGGGGGGGGGGGGGGGGGGGGGGGGGGGGGGGTGTTGGGCATCTTGTACATAGCGTCTATATATTATGTGTGAGAGCAGTGAGCGATGCGTAGGTGTATTTGTCTATAGTTGATTGATCGATCGGTGCGTACAGGTACACACACACACGACATTACATGACATGACATGATGTGCATTCATTCGTGTCTGTCTGTCGATGGGATGGCTACACATATATACTACACATTCCCTAAACACACGTGTGAGTAATTTATGTATGCGTTAACAGTGCGACTGACTCTTGTCAAACAAACGTGTACATCGCTGTTGATGGATGAATGGACTGACGGAAGGACATTTTCTTGGTTCGCATGGTTCTTCTTCTTCTGTTGGCTACGCTGCTGCATTTGCATTTGCACGGCCGGCCGAACCAACAGTGTCACGCCACACGCACCGAGACAAGCGACACTTATACAATTAACCCCGACATCCATAAGCCCTCAGGAATCACGTCTGATCCCCTGCCTCTTTCTCCTGGTCTCTCATGACAGTCTCCCTCAGCCACGCCACAAAGTCTGTCTGCGGCCTCCACTTGAGCACCCTCTCCATCCTGCTTACGTCAGCACACATCCTCTCACAGTCGTTGGGTCGCGGAGGCTGATGTGTCTGTGCGTCGGGCGAGATGATGTCGGCCACCTGCTTGATACTCGTCTCGACTCCTGTGCCCACGTTGAGAGCGAGGGAGGAACTGGATGGCAGCGACCCTTCGCACATGAGCATCATGCTGCGATAGGCGGCCTCACACACATCGGACACATGGACGAAGTCGCGAGTTGTCGAACCATCACCAAAAATCGTCACAGGCTTCCTGCAGTACAGACAGACAGACACCCCCAACGGATGGTTTGAGATGCGTTCGTTCCCTCCTCTTCTCCCCTTTCTTACCCCTCTCTCTTGAGTCGCCTGAATATGGCGACCAGCGTGCCGCTCTCCCTCTCGCCATACACCAAGAAGATCCGCAGCCGCACCGTCGGCACGCCCTGATGCTCGCTGAAGTACTCACAGTACTTCTCAGCCACAAACTTGGTCAACGCATAAGGCGTCCTTAAATCGTGAGGTGCATCTTCGCTCTGCGGCGCTGCGGCATTGCCATAGATGAGAGCAGACGACGCAAACACCATTTTTGGGCGTCGAAGGGTGCCGTTCTTGCCGTCTGCCGATGCGGGTGATGCACTGTTGCCGTCTGCCGATGCGGGTGATGCACTGGTGACGTCTGCAAGGGCTCTGAGGACATTCTGAGTGCCGACGACGTTCGCATCTGTGCATTCAGGAAGCGGAGAGGTCGCCCTGCTGAGTGCTGCGAAGTGAAAGACGCCATCTGCCCCCTCGACTGCCTCACGCACAAAGGCATAGTCACTCAGATCACCCTGCGGTAGAACCAGATGAATGAGTACATCTGTCCATCTCTTTCTTTCTCTCTCGACACACACGCACCTGCAAGCACTCAAATGAGTCGTGTGGCGCGTCGATGAGATGCTGCAGCCTCTCCCTGTTCTTGTGCGTCAGGGCCCTCACTCTGTGGCCCTCCGCCAAAAGATAGTCCACCATGTGGGAGCCGATGAAGCCATTCGCGCCCGTCACAACGTACAGCGACTGCACAACCTCCATGCATTAACCACCACCACTTTTTCCGGCGCGAGATCTCCCTTCAAGCTCGAATCTCAGTTCGCAGATCTCTCGGCGAGTGCAAGATGCTGCTGCTCCATGACGATGTGCACACTCCTGTCTGTGGAAGGAAGACATCGTTTCACCCCGCCATTCCTGCTGAACAAAATGATGGACACAGCGGGAGCGCGGCAGGCTACCGAATCATCACCAGCGCCCAAGACCCCGCCTGCTCGAGGCTCCCGACCGGTGTTTCATCGCGCAGCCTGCCGGAGTTCGCACCCCTCCCCGCTGAGCTGTCGTCCTTCTTCATCCATTTATCAGATGCTCCACCAAAACGCGAGGGCCGCTGGAGCAGGGCCGCCGGCCTCCTTCTGTGTGCCGCGTCGGCCGTGCTGATTTCGATCTCGTCTACGCTGGTCAAGGTGACTGCCGGCAAGACAAGCGTGTTCTATGTGCTGCTCGCGAGGGGAGTGACGGAGCTGCTGGTTGGCAGTGTGTGTCTGGTGATGCAAATGGTGGTGGAGAGGCGGTGGATATCGCCATTTGGTCCTGCCGATGTCAGGCACCTACTTGTTGCCAGGTGAGCTGTTGGAAGGGGCGAGGGGCGAGGGGAGAGGGGAGGGGAGGGAGCCTACTTCCTTTCTCTCGACGCCCACCGCTCTCTTTGGTTGGTCAGGGCTGTGTGCGGGTCTGTGGGCGTCGGCCTCTTTTTCTTCTGCATATCGCAGCTGCCCCTCGGGGACGCGTCGGCTGCCTTCTTCACAACCCCCATATTCACCGCCGTGGTCAGCATCTGACATGAAGCGAGAGACGATACATACCTGCCTGCTCTGCGGTATGTCGGTCATATCAGCTTGCCACCTTTGTGCTGGGTGAGCCGTGGACGGCCATGTGCACTTTGGCGGCCCTGTGCTCTCTTGCCGGCGTCGTATGCATCGCTCAGCCAGAGGTCCTGTTCCGCCACGACGGCATCCAGCCACATGGCAGCATCGCCGGCTCGGCGACCCCTGTGGTCGCTTCTCGTGTGGTTGCTGTCCTGTTGGCGCTCGCTGGCGCGCTTGAAGGTGGGTGGGGACCTGCACTTGATGGAATACCACGGCATTCAGTCGGTGTGTGTCACATGCATCTGCAGGTGGGATTGCCTTCACGTTGGTGCGTTGCATCGGCCCCCGAGTGCGGCCGGTGGTGCACGTCCTGTTCATCAACACGTCAATAATCCTCATCAGCCTCGTGCTCATCGCCACACTGGCCCCCCACGACCACGGCCATGTCAGCAGTAGTGGCGGTATTGGGTTGTTCGGGTGGCTGGCTGCTGTTGGTGTGGTGGGCTTCGCCTCACACTGGTGTCTCAATCGCGGGCTGCAAATCGGACAGGCCGGGCCGGGAGGTATGTGGGGTGAGGGGAGGCGGTGTGTGTGCGGGCAGTTGTGTGTGTGTGTGTCTGTGTGTGTGTGTCTGTCGTGTCGTGGATGGCATTGTCGTGTGGGTTTCATTCAGCGTTTGTGATCAATCTGGATGTGGCCTTCGCCTACGTCATCCAAGTAAGATATGCCATGGAGTGTGTCCACTGTCTGTCCTCTCCATGTCTGTGTGTGTATGCGTGTGCAGGTGTGTGTGCTGGGTCGTGCACTCGACCAATGGAGTCTGTGTGGTGCCCTGCTGATTGTGGCGGCGGCTTCGATGATGGTTGTGCAGAAAATGCATGGACGCACGGAGGGCAGGGATGGATAGGAAAAGGCGAGGAGATTTAAATATAGCGTACGAGTTGAGACTCTTTCTGAAAGCCGTTTATGGGTGGCAGGCAGCGATTCCAATGAATGTGCATTTGTATGCCTAGTTGGTGTGTGTCTGTCTGTGTTGGTGTGGCGCTACGTGGTCTGTGTCTCGTTTGTTTTGCATGTGTTTTGTCCGCATTTGACTTCATGTGTGTGTCTATATTGACACGGATGTCTGAAAGCTGACAATCGTCACATGCATACACACCACACATGATCACTACACCACGTCCACGAGTCAGTGGCCGACACACGGATTTCGCCACGGAGATGGCAACAGAGACCAAACCCACGCTTGAACCCACCCACCTTGGTCAGTGGATCCGGCAGTGCCGGTACGAGCATTTTCTGCGGGTTTCCGCTTGATAAGCTGTGATCTCCGCCTCGCGCGCCCTCTGGCTGGCCGTCTTATCTAACAGACGGCTGCGAACACCCTTCTGCCTTCCAGCCGCACACAGCCAGCATGGCATGCGGACAAACAAGAGCAAGCCATTGCACGAAACAGAGACACCGAGCTCAATGGATGAGTGTCAGCACACACCTCTTTCTCCCTGCAGCCAACAAACGAGAAACGCACGCACGCAGCGCATTCATCATCATTCTTCGCAGCGCTCGTGTGATGCCCACCTTGGCCGAAAGCCTTCGTGTTTTCTCACGTCGGCTTGGTTCCCTTCTTGTTCAGGGTCGACCACCCCGGGTCGATACAATGGTGACACACAGGGATCCTACACCTGAACGTACAAATCGAATGCACGACAGTCTGCGCATGTCTTCTTGTCAACGGGCCATTACCAGATGAACGCCGAGATGGATGTTGGGTGCTGCACATGAGTTTGGGTTGAAACGCTCCAGACAAATATAAAATGTACACAGCGATAGTTCATCGCCACCTCTGTGTGCTTCGAGGCCTCCAGCTGAGGGGGACGAAACGTGAGGCTGCATGTGGGGCTCCGGAATCGTTGGAGGGGGGGGGGGGGGGGGGAA